ATATACATATATATATATATATATATATATATATATATAAAGTTGGGTTTCGCTAAGAAGGAGAGTTAAAGTGATAAGCGTAAGAAGAGATTTCTATCCGTGAATGCATATTTGGTTGAGATGCACTGGATCAATCCCCATATCAAGCGCGATTCATGAATGAGTTTGAGATTAAAGGTGATCAATGATTCATATCATTTATTACGCTTCTTACCTTAACTCTCATTCTCACACGATCTTTCACCTATATATATTTGTTTCAAAATGTGATACTGACATATATATATGTTTCATAACGTAAAATATTTTACGTGTATTTTGTTTTTGTTTCACTATATGAATAAAAAAAGTTTTACATATAATTTTTTCACTATGTAAACACAAACATACGTGGAAAAATACCTTAAATTATACCTTTTGATAGAAAAACCATGCAAGAAAATACTTTTATATCGATTCTCACAGGTTTTGACTTTTTTTGTAGTTTTCATTTGATTATCGTCCTGTATATATAGACAAATGATCGTATGTGAATGAGAGTTAAGGTGAGAAGCGTAAGAAGGGATCTAGACCCTTGATCACGTTTTATCTAAAACCCACCCATGAATCGCGGTTGATACGCGGATTAATCTGATGCATCTTGGTGCATCTCATCCAAAGGTGCATTCAAAGGTGAAGATCATTTCTTACGCTTCTCACATTAACCTTTCTTTTCACTGGAACCCAACCCAACCCAACCCTATATGTGTGTGTGTGTGTGTGATTTGATTTACGTGAGACCACATTTTTACACTTGAAACTTCATAGCAAAACATTGTGAATGTAAAAAAAATCTGAACATTCACAGCAAAAACACTGTGAAAGTTACATTCACGGTGTTTTGTTATGAAAATTCAAGTATAAAAAAATAGTCTCACAGGTCTCACGAAATCAGTTTGATCTCACATGATTTCAAGTCTAAAAGGTGGTTTTATTTGGAAACCAACCACTAATTATACAAATTTTGCATGATTTTTGGTAGCTGCTATAATAAATTAATTGTTATCCAATTAATAAACCATTATTTTCTTGTAGCACTTTTGGAAGAATTCGTTTTTTCATCAATAAAAATGTGATTTCATCCAAAAATAATACTTTCATCAAAGAAATAATGGTATCATACCGATTTCTTCCAAATAAGGGACTTTCATTGATGGAATCCGTTGGTAATCCATCGTTAAAAGTCGGATTCATCGGTGAAG